ACATCTGTCAGACGCCCCACCCTAACCACAGTGCCTATGCAGTGCCTGAACCACACAGGCGTAAAAGTAACAGTGTTGTTACTTTATGATAGCATTCCGCATAATGTTCACCATGTTATACAGATTTTATTTTTTTACCTCTAATACACAGGAGATCCAGAGTTCATCTAGGGGCTGCAAACTCTAGATATGAGAAATAATATTGCAACAAGTTGGGGAAGCATAGTTCAGTAATGGAAATATGATCTTCCTTTGAGGCAGACCTTAGAAAACAAGGCCTTTTCTAAGCCGAGTTCTACTGATTTAGCCATTTTCCTAGCTTCATTTCCTGATTTTTGCCAAAATAAAATTAATGTGTGAAAAATACCTCCAGCAGAGCAGGTCTTTGTCTTCTACTGTACATGGTGTTGGCACAAAGTAGTAGTTAATAAACTTTAATAAATGAAAATAATTTTCAAATTCTCTTATTAAACAAATTTAAATTACTTGAAATGTTCCCTTATACTTAGCATAATATCAGCTATTTTATAGAGGAGATAAGTGTTTTGCCTATTCTTTTGTCCCTTGGGATTGTATTGAATGTCCTAAATCAGCTCTTCACTTCGGGGTGTTTGACCTTAAATCGCCCTTTATGAAGACTCAGAATAGCTCAATGACATTGGCTCCACCTTGTGTCAAGAACATGGTACTACACCCACCCAGTGCCAGCTTGCCAAGAACCAGCCTTCAGTGGCCAAGCATTTTAAGTGGTCCATTGTTAAAAAATAATTTATATTTAAAATACATTATATAAACTTAATTAAATATTTTTAGAAACAAAGTTATGGGCTAACTGGTGGCATAGTAGTTAAGGCAGGTGTATCCCACATGGCTAACTTTATGGTTTGAATCCTGAACCAGGCGGCACCCAAAACACCCCTGTTGCATGTGCACATGTGCCCAAAATCTCAAGAGAATGGAGGAGAAGGGAGAGTAATTTCTCCATTTCTCTGCCTTTCTCTGGCTTTCTCTGGTGAGTGCATGCATCCTATAGCAAAAACTCTTAAAAAGACCACACAAATAAAACCCACAAAAAACAACATATTTGCTTTGGCAGCACTTATACTAAAACTGGAGGAATATAGAGAAGATTATTAGCATGGCCCCTGATGAGAATGACACATAAACTCAGGAAGCTTTTAGTATATTTTCTTCTAAATTTCCCAGAAGTCATGTGCACTTGCTGGAGAGAGACAGAGATAGAGAAAAAGAATAAGAAGTGAGAAAGCACCCCTTATGGGGCATGGTCACACCACAATCCCTTCCCCTCCATCTCTTCCTCCTTTTAGGATTTTTGGCATGCATGCACACATGCCTGACATGTTTCTCAAGCCACCAGATCTGGGACTTAAACTGTGAGATCGGCCATGTGGGTTCTAAGCTGCCTTAATCATCAAACAATAGGCTGGACTATATTTTTTTTCAAGTTATTCTGTATGAATGCAAAATAAATGTTTTTATTAACAAAGAAAAACAAAATAATACTAAAAATGTAATATTTTCCAATTACTTTATTACATTATACTCTTTGTTTTTAGAGAGAGAGAGTTTTGCTATAGGGTGCGTGCACTCACTGAGAAGACAGAGAGAGACAAGAGAGACAAAAAGCAAGAAATCACACATACTCCTACCCCCCCCCCCCCCAAAAACACCCCTC